CCCAAGTGCCACATCTACACGTTTTTTGAACCCCTCCAGGGATGGGGACTCCACCACTGCAGTGGGCAGCCTGGTCCAATGCCTGACCACTCTTGCAGTAAAGAGATTTTTCCTTACATCCACCTGAAACCTCCCCCTCCCCTTTCCTGCTTGGGCAAGGCAGGAGCAACGCCGCGGGAAGCCCTCCTCCAGGAGCACCGCGCTCTTCTGACATTTCCGGACTGAAAATAAGGGTTTAATTTTTCCCGTACCGCAGAGTAAGCGCTCACACTCTCAAAGCACTCCAGCCATTAATGCAGCAGCTCGTTAGCCTGGGACTGTGCGGGAGGCTCAGACACAGCTTTCCCAGCTGGTGGCCATGCAGCGAACTTTCCCACATCCCAGACAGAAGCTCTCACAGCGGGAAACATCGTACCATGCAGAAAAAGCCAGGACATGAGACACAAGCTCCACCATGAACCACTAACGAACGCAGCTTCTTGGCAGAGCTGGAGTCAGCTGCAGAGGACGGTGGCATTTGAATCTCCAGCGGTCACTGCTGCTAGGAAAGGACAGCCAGTCCTGAGAGCACCCGTCTTGTGACAGCCGGGCACCGGGACGGGCTCGACAGCGGCTCCCAGGAATGCTGCCAGAGAACGCTGGGAGGTCCAATTAGTTACCACCCCTGACGAGGCAGCGTGAAGTGCTTCCCCGGTTGCGTGCCCTCCTCCGAGACCAGCTGTCTAGCAAAAATCCACCCAACAGCTCCGACGTCCCCCCCTTTACCGGGGTCCCTTCAGCAAGCCCACACCCAGGGGAGTTCAACGCCGCGGTCTGACAGGCGTGCGCTGCTCAGGCAGCACCGTTTAGAACAGAACACGCCAGCCCTTTACACGGAAACTTTTATTCTGGTTGAGATCTGTACATTCAAGTCGCACGTACTTTGAAGTCTTCGATGGAGCTGGAGCACAGGATCACGACAACAGCGTGGTCTGCTGGGACAGTTTTCAGAGTTTATGCCTCAAAAGTAGACAGGAAACTTGTGACTATCTCCTTCAACTTAGCTTCTGTCTGGTCAGAGATCTTCCCTTCGGTCCTGTCGAAAGAGTTTAGTTAAACTGCCGCAGGAACAGATACAGAGTCGATCCCTGACTAAGGCAACGAAGAAAAAAACCACTTTGCAATGAACCTTCCAATTTCTAACAAAGTTAACAGATGAATGCACATTTCAATGCACGAAGCTGTACCACTGAAGCTACCCTAACATCCCTTCTCCTAAAAAAGTTAGTCCTGTTTAAGAACGCAGGTTGTCAACAAGTCTTACAGAAGAGCTGCACGCAGCTCAGCAAGGCTCCATCTTCTGCTGAGCTACGCCCCAGAGACGCACGGCACGCGGTGTGGCTCATGACAAGCCAGGACCCGGTTTACAGGACAGGACTATGGAAGCACTCAAGCCCCAGCAGCCCACTCGGTGACAGCGAAGGCAGTGAGCGGCGCTTAACCCACAGTACTGCAACGGTTTAAAGCTGTCAAAACCATGGGAACTAAGTGATTTCAGTATCACATCAGCAGAGGTGAATTCCAGTGGGTTCATTTTAAGCATCAGCTGAATTTCTGAGTGAAAACTGAGACAAGCAGCTGAGCTGTGGATGGCAGTGCAAGGACAGTGGGAAGGGGCTGATTTAAGCTCCAGTTCTGGCAGAAGCAGCTTAACGCCCGATGTTCTAGGACACACTAAATGAACAGTTCAGTGATCACTATCTGCATTCCAGCCACCAAGTCAATACCCTCGGGATGAAGTAAGATAAATCATCATACCTGATCGTGGAGAGGAGGGCCTGGTGCTGGCTCAGTACGTGAGCTAGGAAAGCGCTCTCAAATTTAGTGATTTTGCTGGGCTCCAGCTTGTCCAAGTGACCTCTTACACCAGCATAGATGACTGCAACCTGTTCCTCAATAGCCATGGGAACTGCAGAGAAGAAAGCCGTCACACCACTGGTAACTCTTACATCAGGACACAACAGCATGACACAGAGTCCTTCTCGGAAGGATCAACTCCACGTATTCAACACGGTTCAAGCAAGTCGGCGTTTACCACCTCCACACAACAGACACGGTAAACGCTGCCACAGAGACCAACCTCATTAGCACACGAGACTAACGGGGAACGCAGACCTGTCACGCCCAAGACACTCACAACTGAGCGAAGGCAGCTACTTCACGATACTGAGCCAGCTCCAGCTTCATGGTACCCGCCACCTACAACACACGACACAGGGCAGACCGAGTTTGACCGCTTTTTGAACGCATCTACTGGTTTGCAGGTTACCTTCAGCTGACACTGGTCACCAGTCAGCTTTGCCTTGCGTACCAGTCAAGCGAATCTTGAGATTCCAACAATGAAATTCACGTCTAAATATCCCACTGTCTGCGTGGCCTTTTAACATAAGCACTTTATTCCTCCCCAAAAAGGTGACAGTTGATATTAAACCTCTCCAATTCCGTATGTGGACTAAAAGCACAGGATTAAGAGACCATTCTCTATTTCTGGTTAGATCAGTACCCAGTTCAGCACACTGAAACTTTACAAGTACCACAACTTCATGCTGAGACTATTTTCCTTTCTCCCCCCCTGCCCCTCTCAGCAAGCAATGGAGATATCAAAGAGACCCCCAAAGTCTGTTCTTTTGTAATTTCGTAACGCTAAGGAATCCAAAGCTCTATTCCCTCTGTGTTCACAACTCTTTAGAGTGAAACAGGTTGAGAACCCTACATACTACTCATCTCCAGAGGGAGGAGGAGCAGCAGTTTCATGCTTACCTGCTTCATAGCCCTGGTCTGAGCAGCAGAACCTACCCGGGACACAGACAGACCAACATTGATGGCTGGACGGATACCTTTGTAGAACAACTCCGTTTCCAAGAAGATCTGTAGGAGAGAAATGTTTTATTGCCTCGGTCAGAAGCCTGGAAGCCTCCTCAGAGACCTGCCAGTAGGTTACACCGAAGTACTGGCATGTGAAGAAGTCCTACCTGCCCATCAGTGATGGAGATGACATTGGTTGGAATGTAAGCAGACACATCACCAGCCTGCGTTTCAATGACAGGCAAGGCGGTCAGAGAGCCACCCCCAAAGGAATCGTTCATTTTGGCTGCTCTCTCCAGCAGGCGGGAGTGCAGGTAGAACACGTCACCCGGGTAGGCTTCACGACCGGGAGGGCGCCGCAGCAGCAGAGACATCTGACGATAGGCAACAGCCTGCGTGGTGTAAAGACAGCTTTCAGACTTCAGCAGCTTGTTTAAAATTCTGAATTTGTAAACCTGAGGTGATCTTACAGCTACAAACACCAGTGCTCGACTACGAGGCCTATAAACAGTGTTTGCTGACCTGTTTGGATAAGTCATCATAGATGATTAATGCATGTTTTCCGTTGTCTCTGAAGTACTCCCCCATGGAGCAGCCTGAATAGGGAGCCAGATACTGCAGGGGTGCAGCATCGGATGCTGTGGCAGACACCACAATAGTGTACTTCATGGCATCTGGAAAGAATTGGAGACACACAACACCGTAAGTTCATTACCTCACCATGCCTGCAATCAGCAAATACAACACGCACATGAAGTACTCGCTGCTGAAGCAAGCCTACACTGTCACAGGAAAGAACACTGTACTAGACAAACACACCCATTAGCTCAAATAACTCCACAAGTTGCAAGAGCAAGTTTGTGGCAGCCAATGTCTAACGCTTGCAGACTCCTCTCCCATTCAAAATGGAAGTTTAAACTTGCACTAAGATACACTTTGGTTCTAGAAGTAACTCAGTCTTACAGTCTGGGATCTCCTGGCTTTTGCAATGAGGTTATCACCCTTTGCTTCATAGTACCAAACAAACTACTTCTTTAAAATGGATTTATTTTCCTGCTAGTCAAGCAGAGTCATAAGGTGCCTGAGGTGCCATAAGGTCTTGCAAGCTGTTACATATGCAGCCTTGGTCAACAAGATCACAGCTTCTGAAAAGGTGCTATCATTTCATCCCTTCCATTACTTGGGCTGTAAAGTTTGTATTTTGAAGTAAAGTGTCTCCATGGTCATTCACACTGACTTGCAGACATATGAAACAAATGCCAAGTCCTTAAGTACTTGTAGGCAATAGCTTGCCATCAGGCCTGTCTGACTGCCAAGAGGAAGCTTTCTGAACCCTGCTAAAAAAAAAACAAGGAAGGTGACTTTTCCAGAAGCAATTCAGCAGTTTTGGGTCCTTACACTAGTCTTCCAATGCAATGCAGCAAAAGAAGGTATTTTTCCCCAAATACCTAGAAAGATTTCTTGTCCAGAAAAGCAGGTAGTTCACTAATTTAATAAGAAAATAATTCTGTCCACACTCGCAGCTAGGAGAGTTCACAGTAGTATTCAGCATTGTAATGAGAACAGGCCCAACCATCTTCAAAGATCTGTACCTGCGTCAGTCAGCCTCTTCACCAGCTGAGCAACAGTCGACCTCTTCTGGCCAATTGCAACATAGATGCAGTACAGCTTCTTTTTCTCATCTGTTCCATCATTAAATCGTTTCTGATTGATTATTGTGTCAATGGCAATTGAAGTTTTCCTGTGTAACATAGAGATCAGCAAGTTAAGCTGCCTGCAGTTCTCCCAGCCCCCATGCAGCTGTGTTCAGCTCTGTACATGGGTGCACACTGTACTTGAGTCTCCGTTTAAGGAAGCGTTTTTAGCTTGGGCATATGACTTACCCAGTCTGCCTGTCACCGATGATCAGCTCACGCTGGCCACGACCAATTGGCACCAAGCTGTCCACAGCCTTAATACCAGTCTGCATAGGTTCACGCACAGAGATTCTGGGAATGATCCCAGGGGCCTTCAAGCCAACTCTCCTACGTGTCTTAGATGTAATAGGACCCTTAAAAGAGAGGAAACAACCTGTTGCAGTCTGTATCACACAGATACAAGCAGAGCTAGCAAACACCTAGTTACACTTACCTTCCCATCAATTGGATTGCCCAGGGCATCTACAACGCGGCCCAGCAGCTCTTCCCCAACTGGCACATCCACAATGGCACCAGTCCTCTTCACAACATCCCCTTCCTTGATCAGTCTGTCGTTACCAAACACGACAACACCAACGTTGTCCGGCTCCAAATTCAAGGACATACCCTAGGACAAAGATCACATTATCCTGAGAAAACTTACGCCGACATTTATGAAATTTTGACAGTTTAATACCGATAAGGTTATTCTGCAGTGTAGAACACACAACATCATCTATCTCAATCTTACTTGTAACAACAGTCAATGTGCTGCTTTTACATACAATGACTGCTATACTCTTCCATACTGGTGAGAGAACCTGCCTCACCCTTCAGCTTGCTACAAAATTAATCATACTCGCAGCAGTCTAGGATTAAGTCACTTATCTCTCTAAAAATAATGGAGAGGATAAGCAGAGTTCAAACACAACATTTCTCTCCTGCCTAGGAACGGGACAAGGAAAAAGCATTGGCCTCTCCTCGGCCTAAGGTGAGTTAAGTCATTAAAAATACTAGAGGAGATGCTGCAGTACTCAGAACAGTCACCTTTTTAACTCTAGTCTACTCTTAGGACTATAAGAAATCAGCAAACTACACAGGGTACACAAGCACAGAGGCTATTATTCAACACTGAACAGAAAAGCCAACCTGCAACCAAAATAAAAATCCAGTGCCAGATTTGTCCTAGATGAGGACAGATAAAACTCAGATATTGGCCAAGAACCATATACTAATATTGAAAGCACAGTATTACAAATTGAAATAACATTTGCTTTTGCAAAGTATTAAAAATTCAAAGAATATTTGCTTTTGCAAGTATTATTTCAACCAGTTACTATGTGCTGAAGCTGCAGTAAAGTCTGTAAAGATCCACATGGGTAACTCCAAGCACAGTCTCAGGTTCTCCTTAAAAAGAAGACTTTGTATTTCTAGGCTAAACAAACCGCTTTAGTGAAAGCTTACCTTCAGACCAGAAGAGAATTCAACCATTTCTTCTGCCTGGACATTTCTCAGGCCGTACACGCGGGCAATACCATCACCAATCGAGAGCACACGGCCAGTCTCCTCAAGTTCCGCAGAGGTGTCAGCTCCCAAAATACGCTCCTCAAGAATAGAGGATACCTCAGCAGTGCCTGGAAAGAGAAGTTTCCAACCAGATTTAGCACATTAAGGCACCATATGAATTCAGTAAGCTTGTCTTGAATTCACAAGCCAAGATACCTTTCTCAGGTATGCCACAAGATCTAGCAAGCAACACTCTTCCTTACATAGGATGTGCAAGATAAGTAACAGCTTCTGTATTCATAGCCAATAAAAGGAGCTTCAACTCACCACAACGAGCCAGCTTCAATCAAAACACTGATGGCTGCTTAGTTCTCCGTTTCCTTCAGTATGTCCTACACTATTAGCAATCTCTTCTTGAACGCAATTATATTAGACTTCGAGAACTGACATGCTAGCTCTGCTTGAAGAGCATTTACTTAGACTGGGGGCATCAAAATACCCTAATTATGACTAATTTGTAATCCAAGGTCCAGATATATTTAAAAGAACTCAATACATCTAAAGAGCAAGTTGTCCAACATAAGCTATAAAAATGTATTCTCCATCGTCCTCAAATGTGTCTGGCAATATAATTCCAACAACTTCTATTTCCTCCGTTAGGAAACAGTAAATAACACTGTAAAACTGTACCTTTCGTCACCCCAAACCACTTCAAAAATCATACATAAATCACTACCAAAAATACAGCTATGCAGTGCCACTGCCTTCTGTAAGCACCAATAAGCTGGCAGCAAAAATACTCAAGGACACAAGGTCACATCCAGGCAGGACTGGGAAAGTCATCCGTTCCTTCATACTGTTACAAACAAGACAGGAAACTGGAGTTAAGAGGCGTTTTTTCAGACAACTCTGTAGGAGAATTTAATTCTTGTGAAGCAGCTAAATGGTGTAACCCAGCTGACATGCAACCACTCCTTCAGTTTGGGCATAATTTGGATAGTTATTAAAGTGAAGTCTTCTGGATGTGACTGTGTAACAGACAGTTCACTGCTAAATGCTATCCGTACACAAATATCCTCAAGCGTTTTGTCAACTGACACACACAATCCCACACTCCATATTCAAACTCCTTTTAGTCTGATAGAGCAAGTTCTTAACGGCACTCTGACATGAAGACCTTTCTCAGACTCACCAGTTTTCTGAAAGCTTGTTTTGGAAGCATGGATGTTTCTTGTAGCAACAAATGCCGCGCCAAGGGTGTTTCTGGAAATCTAAAATAAGCAATTGTTTCAGCAACAGTGAGATTTCCTCAATCATTGAAAAAAAATTTAAGAGATAACACACTAAAATTTTTGAACAGGAGCTTATACATTTAACATGTCTCAGTTTTGCGCTAAGCTCCACTGCACTCCATCTGCAAGCTGTAGTTATGGAACTACGTCCAGCAACACTAAGCAAGAAGAGGTGAATATTAAACAGAGACAGATTTAGAGCAAGGAGATTGCTCTGAATTGCTTGCTGCATTTTCCTGCATTGCACTGATGTCACCATTACAGCAGCTCCCAAAGCAACACCGCCCCTTTTTCGCCACCTTTGCTGTGACCACCAAAAACCTGGAATGCTGTAAAACATTAGGGTAAATACTAAACATAAATTATACTTGCTAAGTAAAAGAACAAAAGACACTATCTGATACATTACCTAACTTCTTGCTGAGGGAATTATGGATGCGTACGTAACAGATTAATTTCCTGAACTACTGGATTTAGGGTTTGGTTTTTCCTCCAACAAGTTCCTTGATCATTAGTGCAAACTGCCTGCTGTAGGAGACCCTGCTTCAGCAGGGGGGTTGGACTAGATGACCCACAGAGGTCCCTTCCAGCCTCTAGTATTCTGTGATTCTGTGAAATCAGCGCACCATCATGGTTCTGCACACAGCAGAAATAAAATTGTGTCCTCTTAAAAAAAAAAAGAAATAATCTAACCGCAGAATTTCTGAAGCATGGCTGGAATAAATATGAGAGCAGAAATTCATAGGAAAAAAACAAACCTGAGACAATAAATGCATTAAAGATTACTGTAGTCGTGCCTCCCAAGCACAGTCCCCTGCACAGCGTCAACGCCATCTCTCTGAACGCCTGGGCAGGCCTCTCTCCCGTTCACCTTCACAAGGGACACCGGCCGGGATCGGCTCCCTCGCCTTCCCCACAACCACAGAGAAAAAACCACCCCCCGGCAAAGCCTGGCAGCTCAAACCCTAACCCCGGCTGTCACCTGGCAGCTTCCAGACGCGAACGCCGGCAGTGCCAACC